ACGAATAGGCTTCCAATGTTATGTTCGAATGTTATACAGATATTAAACGGCCATCAAGGAGAAAAAGTGAAATGGAGGATGACACATTTACTGAAAAAAAAAGAACAAGATGTAGCAGCGATAAAAACACATTTGTTCCTGATACTAAGAACATAACAATAGGTACAGCAAACTAGTCTTGATCCATTTCCAATTGATACCTTGTAAAAAAAAAGTTTGATTTGCTGTAGGGCTGAACTCACCGTAGGATTTTCGCGAAAGCGACAGTCGTAGGGANAATTGCGGAGATGAATATATTGGCGAAACGGGCAGACCTTTGTGTATCCGTATAAAAGAACACCTAGGTGGCAAACGAAAACTAAGACGAAGCACCCCACTAGGCAGGCATAGGATATAAAAGCATAGCGGAGACGATTTTGAAGTAAAAGTCAATATCTTTGCACAGGAGTCCAAAACACCAGCGCGAAAACTCCTTGAGGCTTTTTGGATAAATGCCAAAAACCCTACAATGAATAGCAGGGATGAATGCCCGGAGGTCATACGCGACCTGATCCCGTACGTTCGCATCGATTTTTGATGTGGGATGGTGCAGTCGTCAACCACATGCGACTATAATCAGCTGTTCTAAACTTCCTCATTGGAAGTCACGAAAAAGCGGCTCTGAAGAAAAAAAAAAAAAAAAAAAAAAAAAAAGCGTTGTATTGTATTGTGTTTTTATGGAAGTAAATGTATGCTGTTTAAAAACCTCGCGATTGCTGAACAAGAAAACGACACAAAAAAGGAATCCTTTGCTAGGAAGCATGACCCGACAAACACACGATGTTCAACTTTTTGGATAAATTAGTTATTACTGTAAAGCAAAACAACTTCGTCGTAAACGCGATCCATAACTCCTGTTCAAATGAGGATTCCTTGTTAACAAAACGAGATCTTTTTAGCTGCAAGTATATTGAGTGAACGGGAACATCTACAACGGTAGTTTGCTTGACCAATTAAGATCGAGAGAAAGCAAGTTCCATGAAATAAATATCTCCAGTGCCGTAATAGTGCAATTCGTTTGGTTTTGTTTATGACAGCTGCGCTATTGAAAATCCTTGGGCACATTTCACACATGCCAAGCAATTATGAAATCATTTCAAGAGTCGAAAGGTCGACTTTCCATAAGCCTCGGCATAGATAGTTGATATATTTATTTATATGATCTTATAAACTGATGTTCTTAAGCTGACGCGAGGTTGGTATAGATCTTCGTTGTCGTTGCTTTTGATGTTATTGATCGATGGCTGACGTTTCGGCGACTTCGCCTTCCTCAGAGCCTAGACGTATTTTATATTAGAATATTTTTATTATTCGGTGGAAAAAAGCTTAAGTATTAATGAAGATCAAACTTTTAAATAGACGTCATATTGAACAGAAAGGCCACTCACCGTGATGTCACGTGGGGACTGGCCCACGCGTTGTTTACGTCGGGTCGCCAGCAAGACACACCCTGGGGTCAAAATATCATTTTGAAATAGGGCTCTAGGTCACGCGTGATAGTGAGGCATTCGTCTTTCCGATTCATCTTTGGATTTTGAAATTTATCCAAAACGTCTCAGGAGTTTTGCGCGTTGATGTTTTTGATTTCTGTGTTAGGATCCGCACCTCAGTTATTTCTCGACTTAAAAACGAACATCCAATTTGCCCTGTCTTTTACTTGCTTTTTAAAACACATAAGCTTACTTCAACTGTTGATACTACATCAACGAACCCATCATCATTTAAAGTTAAACCTATCATCAGCTGTATAGGCGGGCCAACGGATAAAATAACGTGGTTCTTAAACCCTATCCTGACCCAGTTGCTAAAATTCATTCCAACCCATCTACCTAACACCAAAATACTTTTAGACCACCTAAGGCGCGCTCAACCAAACAGCAGTGACGTAACATGTAATGGTGTCATTCGATGTTACGTCACTTTATACCAACGTGTCGAACGACTCTGCAATGCAAGCCATTCCCGAGCTGCTTGTAGAGCATGAAAAAAAGATAAAAATGTACGGGTTGTCGACTACGCAACTAATGACTCTCTTAAAACAGTGTCTTAGTTGTTCAATCTTCAGGTGGTGTGGAAAATATTTTGCACAAATTAGATGGCTGGCCATGGGACAGCTAAACCTTGCCATCGCTTTCATGTCTAGGGTGGAAGCTCCAGTTCACTATCGTCGACTCTTACTCTGTTGTTGTTACATGCGACTGCCTCATCGTATGTTCCACACAAGAGGAGATAGTTGAGTGCTTTAAATTGTTGGATGCGCAGTCAGAGTATATAAAATTTACAAAGGAAAAACCACCCGAGAACTGGCTTTCATTCTTGAACATCCAAATAAAGCTCTTAGAAAGTGGCTGTGTAACAAAACGGTATCGTAAGCCAAATAGTAAAAATATACTAGTTCACTACCTCTGTTCTCATTTTCCTCTGGCATGGGGTCCAAGTTTTCCAAAAAACTTATTATCATTGTGGTTGTGCTTCACATAATTCTTTGCCGTGAAAAATAATAGGCTGTAGAGAAGATGTTAAACAAAAAATTGTTACTTGATAAGAGTTGTTATAGTGTTTCACGATGCATGTTCTGGTAACTAAGCAGTTGTGTCTGTTGCAGCAGCATGCGCACGAGTGCACGACAGCGCGAGGGGGTTGGCCGATGAGGTGACGAGGATCTGCTTGGTCGGCTGGCTGTCTGTGTGTGCTGCGTGTGACCTCAATTGATGTCAACCCATATGCAGATACAAATTCAAGTTATACAAGTCGTCTGTGAGTTTTGTTTGTTTTCCTTTTAAAGACAACTTCCAATTTCAAATTTTCTACTGTAGCTGTTGCCAAAAACTAACGTATGGCGTGCGAGGTTGGTTTTTTTGACAATTGACGACGAATGATTCTCGTATTATAATCTCTATGATAATATCAACCACAAAAATATTTTCCTTGTTTGGAAGTACATCCCTATGGTTGTATTAAATATAAAAAAACCTTGTCCTATCAGCCATATATATATTTTTCCACGGATTATTTCTGGCTTTTGAATGTGCTTAGGATAAGATTTTTGAAAATTTAGGGCGGAGTTTTACTTTCAAATTTTTCACACAAACGCAGAAGCTGTAAACATAAATGATGCTTTGAAAGGAGCATCGTGAACTGCTGGACGAATTACGGTTGTTCAACTGCTTTCTTGTTCAAGATTCGATTTCTGATTCAAGCATATCTGAAAAAATTCGTTTCACCAACCTGAAGAAGTCAGGATCTTATGATGGTAGAATAAACCAAATTTCATGTCGTGGAGAAACTATTTGTAGATTTCAATTTTATTACAACTAATGGAATTCGTGTGAGTTACATCCTATCCTGCCTCAAAGTTGAAAACGGCCACTGGAACAGCATGCAATGTATTGATTTCAAGTCATACCTTACGTCATGTGTTAATAATACGTAGAACAGTAGGTTCTTTGTGATTATTTAAATAAGGAACCAAGAATTATGTCAAGTGAAGCACTTTTATAATTCCCGTTGTTTCTTTTTTTCTATCGACTCGTTGAATTGCGATAAGGTTCACATATGTGGATCTATCTTTGCTAGCTTACAAACTCTGTCTACCACCATGGTAATTCGTCCTTGGTTACGGATGAACCGCAACGCTCTAATTCCAGTGGCGTAGGGTTTTCCAAACGGACGCCTATGTGGTCACTGTGACCGATTTTCAGTAAGCCAACCAGAAAGAACTGCATTATCTACTATGACTATGATTGAATAACAGTTATTATGTTGTAATACTTTAGTTGAAATGGGTCTTCACCTGAACCAATGACGTGCAGTACGAGATCTTATCTCCAGCCTATTTTTTTCAAAAAAGCAAAAATTTACTTGTTTGAGGAAAGTGTTAGCTGCCAGTAGTTTTAATCATTCCAGTTCTGTTGGTTCGTGCGTCGTGCAATGATGTATTGCGTCCAGCAGCAATTATACCGTGGTCCCAGTACCAACAACGATTTAAACAACCAAAATTGATTACTGAGCCCCATCACTCGCAGGTTTATACCTTTTCGTTTTAAGAATTGTCTAAAAAAAACTAACAGAGAAGTAAGTGAACTATTTTTAGGTAGTAGAGAAATGGCCGAGCTTCAGGCAATTGTCTGAAGCGACGTCGAGAACTAGATGGTTGCCAATGGGGAAATCCGATGCGAAACCATTGAAAATGGATTTAAAAGAAACAAAGTAAGTTGGTCTATTTCTTAAATGGTGTAGCTTATAAAAATTACTAAGGCCATCACACGATTTTAATTCCACTGACCAGACCGTGAAGTAAAATGTTTGCTGCAATGACCTTGTAACATATGATTTGCTTTACAGGAAATCCAGGTCAGCAGAAGGTAAGATGGACATGGTGACATGCTTCCTTGTAATGTTATGAAAACATATGCTAGAGCTATGTTTCTTTAAATGCATAAGAGGGACAAGAAGAGACACCATTTCGACAAAGGACAGTCCGCGATTATTCAAAAATTGGACGCAAAGCAGCCACATATTTTATATCTATTGAGCAAAATAAGACACCGCGAAAGCTTTCACATGTCATTACTAAGTGACAAAAATTTTGCGAGAAATGTTGGTGTAGTTTTTTCAGCACTCGTCAAAAGCCTGTCATCAGAGCTCAGCTACGGAATCGCTCTTTGCAACATCTAACGAATTCAAGAAGCAATCTTCTCGGTGGCAAACAGCTGAAGGGAAGCAAAGAGTTCAGTTTTCCGAAGGACGTACACAGCAGTTCACTTTCAAGTCATCTGTCCACTAAACCACACGTTACTCATTCAATCACCATCCCAAATGGTGTACCAGTCCATGCCGGTACATGGGAGGACGGAAAGCCGCACTACCACCTTCAGAAGCGGCCACAACAGTTTGCAGCAGCAACGTTTGGAGCAGCCAATCCGTTGAATTCATTAACTCAAAATCATCTCGCATCCACATCGGCTCTCAATGGTGGTACCGGAGAAAATATTGTGAACGCAATCTTCGCACAGAGCAAAGCCGCCTCCCTAAATCCGAGTGTGCCAATCCAAGTCGCCCAGGTAAACGCCAAGTAAAGCACTACTTACTAAGGCCGTATTTAGGTTGCACATTTTGTAGTATAGATTTGTAGTGTCCACTGCTTCAAAAAATTCTATCGGACGAAGTGATCGCTTTTTTGAGGCAGAATATCAGGTCTGGTGGTGAAAACCAAACCTAATGAGAAAAAATGCTGCAGTAGTTGGCAGCTGATGGTAAGTTAGTGTGTAGAAAACTTGGCTTCCTTTTTGGCAGTGCTAAAGCTGCAAAAGAATAAGTATGCCTTGAGTGGTTCAATCGCGCTGTCTTGTTCATAGATTGCCGTCGAATTTTTAACCTAATTGAATACAGAAACCACATAGAAGGCTTACAAACCTGTCTGGATGATTGTCTCATTGCAACGTTGCGAAAAGGTATGTGATTAGCAATAGTGGCCCAGAGGAAGTAACAAAAAAAGACCCATAACCAATGCCAGGATCCATCACCGTCCTGGTAGCAAGCTAGGTGGCAAATCTCGCTCTGATCCACAAGGGCGGCAGTTGCCTGTGGTGGTGATGACCTGGGCAGACTTTGGTCAGGTTGACCTCGGGACTCCAGGGAGCCATAATAGCTAAAGTAACGCAGCTCCGAAGGAGTGGAGATTGTGCTGGGGCCTGCACAGCCAGTGAGGGCGGCCCATCTAGGTATCCAAGAGTGTATAATAGAAGTTTTCGCTGAACACTAATCTATGTAAATAATTTGAAACACAAATATGTTCCAAGTTTTTGTCCCTTGAGTCATCGCTGAAAACACACGTCTTTTAGAGAAATGTTTTGCAACTCCCATGTCAGCATACAACCCTTCAATAAAAGTATTAAACAGTGGATAAGTTGGAAAGAATTTCATAAGTATCACTAATAGTGAAAATATTGGCAGTCGTTCCTATCACGTATCCACTGAACGATTGTAAACTGATTCAAGCGAGCTACAGCAAACCCTCTACATTTTTTTTAAATTAAAAAAATGTAACCTTCATGATTTGCTATGAAAGCAAAAAAAATGGCTAGTGGACGGATCGCAGAAAGCCGTTTACCTTTTTCACTACACTTCCACTACGACTGCTCCACCTATACTTTGAAAAGTTTACTCAGCTCTACCGTAAAGATTCTGTAGGCCGGCCGTCAACGATATTGTTACTAAGAATTCCTTTTAGAAGCAAGGCAACGAACTAGGTAAATCACGTCTTACGCTTGACAGGGCATCTTCTTAAATTTTATGGCATTTTTTCTGTTTGAATACGTAAAGTGTTGAGGTGACGGTGACGTTATCACTTTCTCATTGATATTCTTCACTATGAGACTCCAATTCGGACAACTGTAACTTGAGTTTTTACGAGTAGTTTTGGTTTCTAACATGACAAGCTGTTACCCTATTCATTTGCTTTTGCTTTTTTATCCTTTACATGAAGTTCTTGAAGTTCCGAGAACTGTCGATTTAACCTCAAATTGGACAGACTGGTAGTCTACTCATTTGATTCCACTTCCTTATCTCTTTTATAAAGGTCTTTAAGCAAGCCTTCTACTGCGATAACTCTTACTGCTAATGTTGAATTAGTGACTTTTGGAAGATCTCGTGTCTCAAATCCCCATGTCAACATGAAACACTAGTGCGCCTTCTCATTATTTCGTCGATAGGCTTTCATGGCGACATAGGAACAGACTGGCACGGTTTCCTCAACAGAGCCGGGTTCAACCAGCAAAAACATCGAGGAAATTTAAATTGTGTTTGGGTACACATAACTGTGAAAACGAGTTATTCGATTGTCGAATACAAAACAGTAATACTTATACTACCAGTAGTGATAAAAACAATATTTATCGCAATGAATAGTAAATCGGATTTACCGCCGAAGAGAACAACTGAACTTCTTGCACGTAACAAATCCGAGTTTCTGTGTTGTTATAAACCTACTGTGTTAGAATAATAAACGGCTGAAATTTTCTTTAATACGCGCAGACTGCTGTCCAAGGAGCTCCAGCATCAAATCCTTTGGAGTCTCTTCTATCAAATGGAGCTTCGTTGGACCAACTTTCGAATTTGGCTAACAAAATTTTGAATTTTGGTGGAGGAGATGGGCCAGTGAGTTATATCGCGGTATACAAAGCCCTTACTTAAAATATTGTTATAGGCTAAAATTTTGTCTAGCTTTAGAAAGGTGGATTAATAGAAGCTATGACAAATGCTTTACGAGGAGCTCATGTACCAACACTAAACACTGCGTTCCAAGACGATTTAGGCTTTGGAAGAACAAAACCACAACAAACAATAGTAGAAAAACTGCTTGCTCAAGGTTACCTTAAATTTTTTACACTAACCTATAAACGAAGAAGGGTTCAATTACTTTTGTTTAAAATTTAGCAGCGTCCGCTTTCAACCAATCACTTAAGGAGAAAGAGAATAAAGAAAGACAATTTCGAATAAGTAAAAGCCGTGAGGATTCTTTGAAGGTGAGTGGGATTTCAAGGTAGTATATATAAACTTAGTAATTTAGGAAAACGCCAATTATAATCGTATCATAAAGAAATCGTGTGTAGTGAAGTGGTTAAAGTGCTCAACAATGCATAAGTGTTGGTTCAACACGACGCCTGTGGGTAAACCAAACCGATCATCTCTTGAGGTCAACAAATAGGCATATCTGAAGGGATAAAAATGCTGGCTTGATAAATGTGGGCATGGATATTATTAGACCTAATATGTATTCAAAGCATAGCGCATCGCTAAAAAATTTATGAGCATCTCCATTCATCCATTCAAAAAACAAATTTCGTTTACCATGGATGGGAGTCCACCTATTTATTCAACCGACACCTCCAACGATCGTGAATTTTACTAAAGGCAAAAAACGCATTTTTTAGTTCATAATGCTGATTAAGCCATCTGCTGAACCCGAATAAAGTCTTAGTATTCCAGTTACTCGACAAGCTGCCCAAGGATGAGAGGGAACTTTTGAGAGCAGCTATTACATCTGGCGAGCTGGACGCAGACACATTAGGCCCAGCCCTTAAGTAAGTTACTTTGTACTGGTGCAAAGATTTTTGGTTGGATTGTCTTCTAATGCGAAACACACCAATTTGCTCGAAGATGTTCTAACATCTGTAGTTGCGTCAGTTATGCTAATGTTTTTTTTAAACAAAAGTTTCATAAATCGATAATTCAAAACAAAGATTTAGAAGGTCTTTATCTCATTACTAGATCACTTGTCAAAGATGATACGGTAGAAGAATCGAAGAAAGAAAAAGAAAACCGACTGACTGAATGGATTCGTGAGAATCGACCAACGAAAAAACACAAAGAAATAGCTGTTTCGGCAGATAAACTGCCGTATTACGGAAAGTACTGTGGAAGTTTCGCTGAGCAGGTGCGCTTACAAATATACCAATAATCACAAATCCTTTCAAGAATATTCCTAAATTCCGATAAGAATGTTGAAGAGACATTAAAAAAAACTAACATATCTGGTATTCAAACTGTCGAGATAGACTATTCGAGGCTAGAAAATCGAACACTCGAGGAGATCGAATAAAGCATTAAGGTTATTCTGCTCAGTACAAAGCACAGTGAAAAAGTGCATTTATTGTTTTAGTGGCGATTTTCTCAAGTAATTATCGTTTATAATGAAGTTGTTGTTCGTGCGATATTTGCTTCCACGTAGGCCCTTTCCACTTTTGGGTTGACACGTCATCGCAAACTGTGGTAATTAAACCCTTAATTTGCAATAAGACGACATTCTGCTGTCGTGGTCAGTAGGTAAAAAAGATAAAGAGAGTAGTAGAAAAAGCAAACATTGGTATAGTATTCTTTAGAACAGCGGTAACTCATACACGGTCTCTGGATAGGGAGGGAGCGCACGGTAATCCAAACATGGCTTAAGATCATTTCATATGCACACATGTTTCAACGGCCAAGAAACAGAGATCACAAAATAGCATGCAGATAGGTGAAATGCTTTTACTCCGATGCTCGAATTGAAAAGTGCGAAGCATACAAGAAGTTCGTCCGTAGCCATTCTGAGACAACTTACTGAGGCAAATAATTTCGTAATACAAAAGATGGGGATGACTTTAACACCAGTGTTTATTAGAGCGGTAATGTGTAATAAGAAATAATAGTAGGTAATACTGTTTATTTGCGTAGAACCTGACATAACGATTTTGTCAGCATCATGAGGTGAAACCAGAAGGTGAAGATAGTAGCCATTCAAAGCGGAATGGTTGCCATGCCATTACTATCACTAGTATTATTGTTGCTGCTATAATTATTATTAATAATAGTTATATTATTACCACTATTATTATTGTTTCTAGACCGCCCTTCCAGAAAATGAAAAAGGCGATACTGCCAGAACGTTAGCTAGAATGGAATAAAGATTAAAGTAACACTTCGTGTTTGCTTAATAAGTATACTGAGAATTATTACCATTATTATTACTATGGCGTATGTGGCGCAGTGGTCCGAGACGCCCTTAAACAAACACATAGAATCGATCATCGCGCCGATAGCCCACCAAGCCTTCCATTCCTCCGGGTTCGGCAAATTGGTACCAGACTTGTCTGATAGGATAGCAGCACTGGCTTGATACATCGGTAGGCCACGGCCAGCGCGAGATATTGCAGAGGCCAAATATGGGCCAGATATGCATTCAGTCACCTCCAAACGATGCTTAATGAAGCCGAATACATGGCGCACCCTCAAGGATTGATCAACGCCGAGAGTTTTGTTTTCTTTTAGCTTTATTGTTATTACCTCACTATTGTTATTATTATTGTCATCGTTATACTATCTTTTAGTTTTTACTCACTATAGATTTTTAGGCCTGATGAAACACCGTATTTGAAAGATGATACCTGAAAAAGTTAGTATATCTAGTCATTGTTACCCGAAAACTATTGTGTCTTTCCAAGTTTAATTCTTTTATACTTGTTTGGACGTATTTTACGAAAATCTCAACCAGTAGCAAAAACTTAAATGTGGTAAAGCATGATCATGGCTAAACATAGTTTTGATTAGAACTGTTATTCATTGATATTGTTTTTAAAGGACCTTTTAAAAGAGATCGATAATGCTACAGTATTCGGAAGTTCATTGAGAATTTCATACAGCCCAAATACACATTCATTCAACATAGATGAAAGTGCACTTACTCAGTTAAACACACTATTATCCAGTAATTTAGACAAGAAATTTCAGTTTTTTCAGATCAACACAAAAATGAAGTTTAAGCCATCAGGTGCTTTGTGGGTGGTGGATGACAGAAGATTTATTGTTTCGAAATTTTTCTTCCAACCTGGATCACTTCTATCAGGTATGAATAGCGGCAGTTATGCAAATTAGGAGGATGAGCCCAAAGGAGAGAAATGAATTTTAGTCACATTAGAGATTTTTTACTCCAGAATGTATATTAAAATTTTTTGCTAAGGAAGACATCCTTTTCACATTAAAAAATGAGCTAGCTCCAATCAATTTTCAAAAATCAATGAAAATTCGATTTGTGAAACTCTTTGAAAGCCTATTTTTTCACCTACAATTGTTTGTTGCTGCGCTTTTGTTACTTCTCTGTTGTGAGCCGTTCAGTAGTTCTAAAACAAAGTTTCTCGAGTCGGTTTCTTAGCTTAGTTCTTTTTTGTGTTTTTTCTTGCTTATGCCTTGTTATTAGAAAATGTGACGTTCTGGCTTGGACCGCTCAATCAAACGGAAAATATCCTAGCCGACATGTTTCCATCGCAGAACGGTTTCTATGTTCAACCACAGCCAATCGACGTCTCTATCTTCGCACTTGACGAGTTACCTGTGGGTTTTTTTTGACAATGTGCAAATATCTGCTTTGAATTTAATTTATAATCATTTACACCTAATATCACGTAGTTTTCGTTTTGAAGACGTAGCGAGGTGATGAATTTGAGTATCTAGCTGCATTTTTACTAATCCTACTTGATGCTTAGCTAGCGACGCCTAGTGCAGTAGTTAGAGCTTCCCTGCAGTACATCTTTGCTTCGATCTCACACCCTAGAAAAACAAACCCCCATTCTTGCGAGAGCGATAAGCTGATCTCAGACTAGCCCGGAGAGATAGAAACACAACGTGAATACACCATATATTATAACCCACAGGTGCAGTACAAATGCACATTCACTCACCCCTACGATTCAATGAATGAGTCGAATGCATGGCTCATTCCTCACCAATGCGTCAACACCCTCTATCTTTTAACCCTTTATGCCATATTTTACGTTTTGGAAAGTTAGCTCTCAAATAACGCTTGTTTAACAAGTTCTCAAAAGATGGTTTTTGTCTTAAATCAAAATTTACTAATGACGACTTTTTTTCTAGCCAATGAAAGCAAGAGCTAGAAAAGTTGTCAACGTTCTGACGACTAGCTCAAAAATAGCCGAATTAGGAAAGGAATCGGTTAAAGTTAATGATGCATTGCGGGTGAAGAAAGAAGGTAGTATTTGAGGTTATTCCCTGAGTTTATCTACTATTGCAAATATAACCTAGTACTATATCAAGGCTATAATATGGCGAAACATATAGGACTTTCAGTGTCATTGTTGGAAATGAATAAAACAACGAAAAATGGTCGTGGTGGTCGAAAACAGGTGGAATTAGTGGTGAAGGTGAGCCTACAGGAACAAATAATTTAGAATCTGTGATTTATTATTTCATAGTTTCTAATTCCTTCTTGGATACTCAATACTTGAATGCTTCATGTCTGCGAGGAATCGTTTGTTCCCAGCTTCATAATTTTCATTTCACTTTTGAATTACTCCTTGGCAAAGACATTCTCTCCTTAGAGTTTCGTCACTCGGTTTGTTGCGTCGTCCTCGAGAGGTTAGTTGACAGATCGCGGGTTCCACGATCATCACAGTAATCGCTGCCGACATAGAGGATTCTGACTAACATGATAACAAATTTCTCCCCACCCCATAAAGGCCGGCAAGAGCTTTTCGTGCAGTTTTTTGAAAGCCTTAGTCCGGTTATCATGGCCTTCTAGGAGGTAAGTTTCGGGAAACGTTCAGCATATTAGTGAAAGGAGAAAGAGCAACTTCAACTTGCCCTGGAGTCCACGAGCGAACCCTGTGAGCTTCGCAGATAACAGCAGAAAGACAAGAAGGTGAACGGTTGAAGGGCCAAAACCAACATTAGATAGGAAGATGGGTCATCTAATTATCCTAGTAAAGAATTGCAGCTTTCCTATTTTTCTTTCAATAAATACATATGTGGACAAATATCATCGGAACGAGCCAAATACTTATATATAGAAAACCTGCTGAAATATGTGTAGTCCGCACCACATAAAATTTAACAGGTAGGAAACTGTTTTAGCGAAAGGTATTTTTCTAAAAAACATTATAAAGTTAAAATCACAGTCTTAACCTGTTTTATTTGCTGCCTACTATAGCTTTTTTAGGGCAGGGTATAATGCGAAATACAACCACAATGATGCTGAGATATTTCCAAAACTCCAGACCACAGGTGTAGGCGGTGGATGACGAATGCGCTATTACCCTTTCCGGAAGCTAACGCGTTCACCACCACCCCATATCAATCCTGTTAATGGGTGATTGCTGATAGCACTGATCGATAGAATTAATAGAACTACTTGAGAGACAGGCGAAACGAAGCACCCACTTGGTGTGGTGGGAACGCGTTGGCCCCGTGAAGGGAACTAGAGCGTCCCTTTCCTACCGTAGACATCTGCGGTCTGGTGTTTTGCAAATATTATTATTGTGATTATCCCAACGGTTTACAGCCTCATCGTGGCTGTGAAGTGTTTCTGGGTGTCGGACTGCGATGTACAGCGGAGGGATTTGTTCCCTGGCAGGGTCTCCTAAGCTAAAAAGGACTCCGGCGTTTTTATCAGAAAGCATAGCTAAGAGTAAATCAATGCCAGGATCCACCACCGTCCTGGAATCGAGGCCGCATGGTGGTAAATCTCCATCTGATCCACAAGGGATGCAACTGGTGGTGAAGACCTGTGGCAGATTTTGGCCAGGCTGACCTCGGGACTCCAGGAAGCCATAATGGCTCAACCAGCAAATCTCTGAAAAATGGAGATTATTCTGGGGCCCGCACAACCAGTGAGGACGAGTCATTCAAATATCAACTAAGTATTGCGAAGCTGATTGCGCGGTAGGGTACTGATACCATCGGAATTAAATTTCTTGGTATTCCATAATTCTCAAAAACCTTATTTAAACCCGAGTTTTAGCAATTGGTAGCTCCATTTATTACGAACATTCAGACATGCAGAATTTGCACTGAATTATTGTATTAATACATAGTAGGAAACCTTCATGAAGAATTCCATTTCTTGTCGTACATTATCTAATTGAATGAAACCGTCCTCATATTGATGTTTTATTTCCAGGATGGCATTGTACAATTGGGTAATGGTACAACAACAACTGCTTCACAAAAGTAAGCAGTAATTTAATGCTCTTTACTTCTTTTGTGGGCGCGTGTGGCGTAGTCGTCGGAGGCGCCCTGCAACACATACGTGGAAACGATCCTCGCGCCTAAGACCTACCCTTGGAGGATAGCAGCACTAGCTCAACACATTGGTAGCCCACCGCGAGTCATTGTAGGAGTTAGATATGCATTCAATCACCTCCAAACGATACTTAATGATGTCGAATGCATGTTGCATCCCTGAGGGATTGATCAACGCCGAAAGCTTTATCCTTTATTTCATTTCTTTTGATGTCCTTACTATGAACTAGCTGTTTCAGAACTGAGTCAGAGGCATTCGAACGAACTGGCACATCTCACGCTCAATTCAATGCTGTTGTTCCAAACAGTTTCACAATACGTCAACCAGAAGACGATAAGATAAACTACCGTGTACGTCCTTAATTGTACTCTCTTATTAGTTCTAGTGTGTCAGATAAAAACGTGCCCCCACTGCTCTACAAAAAATTTAATTCAGTTCGCATCCTTCTACAGCTGGCTCTGGATGAAATTGTTGTCTGTTATCGAAAACCAGTATCAAGCATTATGGGAGAAACTGTTCTTATCCATTATATACTTTCGAATAATAAGCTTAGAAAAAAGTTGTGTTATATCCACTTATAACATAAAGGCTAAGTGAGGTTACGTAATCTCTGGAAATATTTGGAATTAAATGCAACGTGCAGCCTTTGAGGAAGGCGATAGTGAACGGCTTGAAAACAGCAACTGGAGAATGGCGCTGTTCTTCTACTAAGGCCAATTCATCCACACTAATTTTTATAGGGAGAAACCTAGTTCAGAAAACGGATTTAACTATGGTCTTATGAACGGAGTTTTACGTGTTACATAAAAAAGGCGGCCACACTTCATCGACGTTACTTGTCTGACCAATGCTTCGACAACCGCAGGGATTGAACGGCCATCTTTTCTCTTCACAAATGACACGGAATATATAATCTACTGAAAACACTTTTGCAATATTGATACTTGTCATCTAAATTACTTCCAATTGTGATTTCGAGCATTCGTCAACTGTTTCTTTAGAATGAGTCGAAGTATTTAAATCATTTTTGGAGTTTCGATTGGTAGAACTTGGACTACTGTGAACAACATGGAAGCGTATTTTAGTCTATCAGTGAGCTTATAATCCCATTGATTAATTTTTTTTGCTTTTGTTTATTTATTTTTAATGTTTGTAACAATGATGGAGGAAGGGATAGCTACATCGGCATTCTACTCTGGATCCTAAGGATTGAGTATTCTTTGTAGAAGAAGAAGATCTCGTTACTTTTTTAACTCAAAAATAATGTAGGTTAAGGTAATATGTACAAAGAGGAATATGGTTGACGTATCGAGTCACTGTTCAGCTGAAAAACATTTAAGCATACAAAGTACTATCTAGTCAAAGACGTTTGCGCGCAATAATAGCTTTGCCATTTGCTCTGTAACAAGCTTCATAGTCTAAAAAGCCGGTCATAACTTCCTACTGAATTCCTTCCCAAATCGTTCTTAATGTTTATCCAATCTGTGCTTCCCACCTGATAGAGACAGAGAGGAATCTTTTGGAGGTCGGTTATTCAGTATCCATTCCTCACAACCAGCCATCTTAAATTAGTCTCATCTCGCTTCGGATTATAAACGTTCTTATTTTTCACTCTTTATAACACTGAAAGTTGATTTCCCTTTGCAAAATGGCAATATAAGCACTGAAACAATATCTCAAAAGATTTCTTATGCTTTCTCAAATCTTCCTTTTTGGAAAGGAGTGTAGAAACAAAGAATTATACATAATTTTCCAACGTGCTAATGCTCACGCTTCCGCGCGCTGCTTCTACTTTCTGTCCTTTCCTAAGTCAACTACAGTTTTTTTTACACGATCCGTTTCGCGCTTACTGTACTTTTACAATTTACTTCGGCTGCTCCTCCAGGATTTTCCTTTCGTCATGAATATTGCTGATTGCTGGCCTGGTCGATCCTTCCTGGAGTCCTACTATACCCACGCCAGAGAGTTCCCACTTAGATTGCAGAGGGTGAACTTTTCTCAGAAAATTCCGGTACCAATTTGGTGACACCAAAGGGTTGGGCGGTTTGGTGAGGTCGAACTAATACCGTGCACTTGATGATCGGCATAACTACCACGGTGCTAAAATCCCCTAGTCGATAACAGTGGGCATGTAAAAAGCGTAATACTTTTGAAAAACACTTTCCACCGACGCAGCACTTCTACCTGTGTTTGTTTGTCGCCATCAGAACAGCAGATGTTAATGGTTCCGGTTGTGCAGATTAAAGAGTCGAAACCTGTACTCGAGAATAGGATCTTCTATTTGTCGACATATCTGAGTAATAGTTGCCATATTAACTAAATAACTGTGAGACTATCAATCAAATGCAAGAGAATACGTTGGACTTGCTTTGACAAAAATTCCTGGCAACGACAACGATTTACGCTTTTAATCTCACGGAAATGACGAATCCCCTTATAGATTTGCTGATGGTTGTCTTTGATCGGGAAATTTCAGCTCATTTTTAAGGTTAACAGCCTTTTTCAGCAATGGGACCATTTAGAGTATCAGTATTTTTGTTCAACCACTTTTTAGGATTTATGCAAAGTTGAAGCTGCACTTCACAGTTGAAATCCATATTTGAAAGCGTAGAGTAAGTATGTGCATGAACTTTGCAAGTAGTACTTGTTCAGCACTTCAAAGAGCTTATCTACCCACATTATTAAGCTCTACTCTCCGATGATGGAATAGTAGATACTTACGTGTTTTCTCAGCTATTTTGCTACTTATTCTCATAACCACCTCGTAACAGTTCGAAAATATTATTTCAGTATGCGCAACCACTTGAATGGTTCGCAGGCTTTCAACCTCTTCTACTTACTCTTCCCGACGGAAAATCGACAAAATCCGTTCATTGGGTGTCGCTGAGAGACCACAAGCGTCGAGTAAGCTATAATGGTGGTTCATATGCAATAAATATCGCTTGTAAACAATACATACGACACTGCAAAAAAAAAAACAAAGCATAGAACGTAGGCTTCAGTGAGGTTTAAAGCCTTCTTTTCATGCCACATAGTTTACACCTACCACAAAGTCTGCAACCTATTCGCTAGCAGAAATGAAAGGTAGCAATATCTTTTGAAGGAAACGGTGGCTTCGGTTCTGCTTCCAAATGGACCCGCATTTCAAATACCAAGGGTGGTTACTCTTCGTGGGCTTTCTCCGAATGGAGTGTACAATATTAGTTCAGGTCCAATCCGGGTAAGAAATTTGCCGTTGCCTTGTTATTTTTTTTCTGTAGACGTATTTCAATTCCAGGTAATTGATATCAAAACAATGGAAATCAACAATTTCTCGCTGAGAAGTGGCAATAACGTGGTTTGGTTTATGATCGGAAAAGATATATTGCCCAATGCGAACGGTCATATAGTCCCCCTTTATGACTCGTATGTTTTTTAAGTGCTTTTTATCCTCACTGGACTTATTCTTTGCAATTAAATTTTATTGAATGAAATCGAAAAAGGAGCGCAGTGAAATCAAGTATTCAAATCATATACAGTCATTCTTCGACAAAATTTCAGTGATTAACGAGTTCACACCCCAAGTATTTTCTTTGCATTCCTTCTTCAGCTCATTCGTGAGTGTTTTCGCAAAATTATTGAACAGTTCAGAAATAAATGAGCATTTTTACCCATATTATCTAAAATCCTACAACTTGCTTCAAACAAAACCTTGTTAATCAAAATAAGAAATTTAACCTATTTTGGCCGCACCAAATTCAGAAGCTCTGAAAGTAACTAAATCGTCGAAGGCATTTTTTGCGTCGTCGTGGTTGGTGAAGCATTTCTCGCGCAGAAAGGTGGCTGAGGTTTCTGAAGAAGTGATAGTCGGTAAGCGAGAGGTCTAGCGAATGTGATGGTTGAAGCAAAGTTTCGTAGCGCAAGTCGTTCAACTTCTGCAGTGGTGAATCCGTAACGTGAGGCGGAGCATCGTCGTGGACGATTGGTTCATTTCCGTTGACTAATACCGGTTGCTGTTGTTGCAGTTTACGGTTAATTTCAATTTGTTCGCAACACTTCTCTGCCGTAATCATTTCGCCCAGATTCAAAAATCGGTGATGAATCAGCCCGGCTGCAGATCACCAAGCACTACCATAACCTTTTTTGGTTCAATTTCGGCTTTAGGTAGAGGTGTGGAGTCCGATCGCATTCCAACCCTTGAGCTGGAGCGTCACCGATTGTCGTCAGGATCCACTTCTCGTTGCACGTCACAATTCGATCAAAAGAAGAATCGTTGTTTCGGGCCGCCTCCGCTTCACTACGACCAAGTTTGAACTCATAAAAGAAAATTTGACAAAAATTCGTTTTCGCTTCTAAAATTCCAAGGCTTAAAATTAGTAAGAAAGTCAACTTTTAACGAGAAAGAAGAACATAATTTAAAAAGCATATAATAAGCTTTTTAATAACATATAATATTGCGAAGTAAAAAATATTTCATTAGTAAAAAATACGCTAAAACCAAAAGTACTTTAAAGCGCTCATTTATTTCTAAACAACCTAATAGTTTGTATATAATGCTGAGATATTTGCAAAGCTCCAGACCTAAGTTGTATGCGGTAGAGAACGAACGCGCTATTACCTATTCCGGGGAGTAGCGCACTTCACCACCACACCAACCGGGTCCTTCGTTTCGTCTGTCTCTAAGCTAGTTCTATTGCTTTTTTTTGAGAGACAGGCAAAACGAAGGACCCGGATGGTGTGGNGCAAAGCTCCAGACCTAAGTTGTATGCGGTAGAGAACGAACGCGCTATTACCTATTCCGGGGAGTAGCGCACTTCACCACCACACCAACCGGGTCCTTCGTTTCGTCTGTCTCTAAGCTAGTTCTATTGCTTTTTTTTGAGAGACAGGCAAAACGAAGGACCCGGATGGTGTGGTGGTGAAGTGCGCTACTCCCCGGAATAGGTAATAGCGCGTTCGTTCTCTACCGCATACAACTGCGGTCCGGAGCTTTGCAAATATCTCAGAATTATATACGAGTTATATTTCGCAACATACCCTGCCATTAAAAAGAAAAAGGCAGCAAATTAAAGGGTTAAGATTCTAATAGTTTGTTTTAACCAATTTCTTGTGTTTCCCTTTTCTCTGAGAAAAACAAAATCGTTTGCAAAGTAGTGAATTAACGAAATCATTTTTTCCAATAGTTCTACTTGCCCCAGACCTTTCATTAAGTAAAATATTTTTCTGGCATTTGTAAAAACTTCGGCGAACATGAAAAATCTGTGGTGCTTAAGGGACTAAGGGAGAACATTAGCCTATACATCGTTTGAGTCAGTGCACGTATTGTAAGGGGTTTTAGTTTTCTAGCTAAATTAGTAATAGAATGTACATAACAAGACAATCGTAATATAATTAATATGTACAGCATTACAGCATATGGTAAAGAACGCGTGTAGCCTAGTGATTAGAGGTGTTTTACTAAATACAATTGGTCTTTGGCTCAATGCGGCACACAGGGCCCGCCAAGCCCTCCATTATTCTAGTAACGGCTAATTGGCACCACACTTGAATGGAAAAACAAATAAATTAGGTTAGTGCATCGGTAGGTAGGCCCCTCTACCCAAAGGTTAAATATGCATTTGTCTACTGCGCTATGAGTAGAGTTGGATACATGACACATCTATCATTGGCTAACCAGCAGCATTAATAGTGAACAGTACAGGAATTTTTGGAACCTTCTAAGCAATGATCTGTCAATGAAGATGAATAAAGGAGTTTCTTGTTCATTTTACTGACATTCCTCAAAATGGCGATAGCGTAATCAATGCTTGATGCAACTGTTTATATCATTTCTCCAACATTTTTTTACCGCCTCGTTCATTGTTTTTAAGGTCTATATTTAAGGAGATTCAAATTTTTCGATTGTGAGTCATTGCGTGACTACTATAATGAAACAGTGCACTTAAGACTACCAGGAAATCTTGACATAAAAGATGTCTTCTGGTTTTCAGGTTAGCCATTTTATTTCATGGTGAAGTAATTTTTTTATAATATTGTTTTATTCAGTGTTTTCCATTGCGGAATCAGTTTCGTATTCACATATTTACTTGCCATACAACGATATGCAACTGCCACCAGATCTGAACGGCCTACCGGTGACGTACACATTTGTTTGATAATTTTAACAGATTTTAAATGAAGAAGGCTGATTACGGTGCCAATAAACCCTCATTCGATAGAAAACTATTAAATAAAGTTTTCTGACACAACACCGTTTCACCTGCAGGAAAAGTCGTGCTTTAACTAAGGATGTTGAGCGATTTTCATCCGGTAGATTCCATAAACTTCATTGGTGACCAGGGAATTCTGTCAACGTCCCGTAATAAATCATTATTTTACACTTACTTTTTGTTTCGTGCAACACTAGAACGAGTAGGCCACTGTGATCTGTCGTCTTAGACATGTCGTCTACACAAGCAGCTCTAGCGCCAATCGTACTAGTTATTGCAATTGCAGCGGAAAAATGCTGAAACCTGGACACACAATGCAAATTGGATGTCGATCTCCAATATTACTTCAGTTAATGCCGTTTTACTAAAAAGCCACGGCCGTCTAAACGTGTAACTTAATTATTAATATGGTCTTTATTACTATATATCGGCGAAATTTCATCAATGCCATTACTGATTTCCTGAACACAGATGTCCACTTCTAAGATTGTCCTATTTTCCAAAAGCTTAAATAATTATGTTACGAATAGCCTTATTAAAGTACCAAAAAAACTACTGAGTTAACAAAAGTGATCAAGTCGTATTATACTGTATTCAGACACCGTCATGCCAATATACAAAATAGATGGACACAGTGTTCAATTCGACGCGTCCATATGAAGCTGTTGCCAATCAACATGGGTACTTCTTGTGTTATTCTATCTTATGCTTTGAATACTTCCCAATAAACTCTTCACCTGTCGATCGATTCATCCTAATTAAATTGTCGTCGCATTTCGTGTAACGATAAATTCGTTCTGAAGTTTTCACTGTCCCCGTTTTCTTGTGATGGATGATTTTCTGTTCACAGCGGTTGAAAGTAAATCTTCTTACCGTTTATATACAACTTGACCTTATAACACATTACTAAGTTGACACGGTGAAAGAACGAGAGACATTCTGCTCTGATAGGTTTTCTTCTTTTGATTTACTTGGGATTAATCGATTAATCCAATTGTACATATGCATATCGCAACTCTTTGATTCAAAGGCGTAATAGAATTATTGCGTTTGCTTGACAATTTACGTCTACGGTTTTTGCGCTTGATTGTTTGTGTTTGTGTTGGATTTCTTCGTTTCATTCGTTGACAAAGCGATGTACAAATTATTCCAGAAAGGTTAAAACTCCGAATTCTAGAACGTACGAAAAACGATGATCAACGGCAATGTGATAATCTTTATCTTCTTTACCTTTGTACGACTCACCACCATGTCTACTATGCGGATCCCAGCACTTCTCACATTCGGTTCGTTTCCTCGTATCCATTATCCAAGAAGACCTTCCAACTTTTACGTGTGGTTTGGATGAGATACTTGAGGTTTTTCATTTCATCTTGACCAGTTTTCTGACGCACGTGGAAGGGAGGTTTGCTGAGCCCTGCTCTGAGCCGAATAGATTGCTGTCAACTTGACCTTTCCAGGCTCTGAGAAAGGCGAAATGCGCCGAAACGTCAGATTATTCGTGAATAAAGAATAAAAGTAAAACCTCGCGTTTGCTCAACAAGAATACGAAGCATTGAGCATCATTTGGAGGTGATTGAATGATATCTGGCCTTTACGATGACTCGCGGTGGCGATGTATCGAGCCAGTACTGCTATTCTCCGACACAACTCTGGTACAAATTTGCCGACCCCGGAGGGATGAAAGGCTTGGTGGGCCACTGGCGCGGAGATCCATTCCATGTGTGTGTTGCTGGGCGCCTTCGACCACTGAGCAACACGCACCCGTCTGAAAACTTACAAAGTATTATTACACTAGAGCATGTACATTAGTGTTCGTAATCAAATGATTTTATGTGTTTTTTCTGTTTTTTTTAGTGAAATATTTCCATCACTAATTCTTTTTCTAGATTGTGAAGTGCTTGACATATATCACCAGCACAAACCGGCTTTATCAGTGAAAATCGATCAAATGGAGGAAAAATGGCAAATTGTTACATCGTAATTCGCAGAAATAAGGAAAAAATGCTTTAACACTAATCCTACTTTTCATGGAAATATTGTTATTAAAGAGAATTTTTGAGAGAATCGTGAAATCAAACTTTTTCTTGGATGTGAACTAGAAACCCCTGGAAACTCATACATGAGCTTGTCCATTCCATAGTAATAAAAATGTAACAAATTTTTTTCTTAAAATATATTCTTCTTTGTTTTCATTCCCCATACATTCTCCTACGTAGAGGTTGTTCAGATTGAGGTTAGTGATAGGAGGTGTCGTAACATCTTCATCCGCACGATTTGTAATTCAGAGCGTTGCGTTGGCTCTAAGAGGATAGTGTGGTGTGTTCCATTATCCACTTCATAGCTTAGTTGATATGGTCAAACAATAAGAACAATCAAAATCAAGCCCTCGTTTAACCAAAACGATTTTATCTCGGTTTTCATTCCTCGTTTCTTAGTTGAATCATATGACTGTCTTTGTTTCGTTCTTGTGTTGCATCCTATCTTTTAACGTTCTTGGTGTTGTCCAATTCATAAGGAAAGCCTGATTGGAATATTCTTAGATATTAACATCACAACACCACTCAATGAGTTTTGCTGATTAAGATCGTTCTTTCAAAACAACAACTCATGTAACATGTGTTCCGGCAAGAACCTTGTTGAATTATTAAGTAAATAATTGGTCAATGACAAGGTTTAGATGAAGCCGATGTGCGCGACACTTTAGGAAATCTTAATGTTGAGTTAGCGACAATGAAAGTGATCCAGTTTTTGTAACGTTTTGCCTAAACACTTGGATTTCCTACCGTATTTTTTTTTGTCAGCTTCCTAGCTTTCAGAAGTACTATTTTAAACCGCTAAGTAATGTATGTGACTCAGTTGTAGTATCACATGAAGAGTTCTTTTGGCTGCTGCCTCTTTTCTATAGCTGGTTTTTTCTTTAGCCCCACAGCCTATAATCCTATAAGAGCATGTTGTCACCCTTTGCTCATTTGTCTTGGCTTACACACTTATCTAAACGACTAAATTGTAGTGGAAGATAAATGGTCAGATTTAAGATTATTATGTATGGTGATTTTACTTTTCACTCCTATTCTATAGTTTAAGTACTTTTAATAAAAACGGAAAGATTGTTTTCTTACCTGGAAACATTTCCTGTTCCATTCTGTTCTTGAACGAAAACTCTGCGAGAAAAGCCTAAGGATACTTGACTATCAAAAAACTCGAGTATCAGTCGCAACCTATGACAATATTAATCATCTTCTTTTTTTTACAAAATAGAAGACACTGATTCGTTTGCCGAAGGATTCATTTTGACGTCTCAAAAAATCTACTAAAGAACGAAGGTGAAACGCATTCCAGTACTTGTTGTTCACCTGAGAAAACCACTTTGACGGAAACACTAATCGTTATTGTAAGAAGTCTTACAAATACTTTGGTGATAAATACTAAAGTGTTTAGAATTTCTGACTGTTTACTTGGCTTTGGTGTCTGTCATTAAATGCAGATAGGTGATTCACCTAACCGATCGTGGTTGGTTGACCGGCCTTCAGTTGCCTCGTTCCGAGCGTAAGCGCGACCGACACAAATTCAACGCAAACACGTCTTAATCAACGCTGACGACCGATAGACTTCGAAGACGATGAATCCTTCATCGTCATCATTATCGTCATCAGCACTATCAACATCACCATCGTTATCTTCATCGTGTAGTCGTCAACAGCTGCTGCTTTTTTAAGCAGCCGTCGCTTTTATTCTTATTCTTGCATTCGACGTTTCGTCATTCGTTCTGCTTCAGTTTCTGTGTGACTCATTCGAGTGCATGTCATAAACTATACTAACAACAGACTTTTTCATTCTTGTGCATAAAGCCGTTCCAACTGAATTCCTTCGTTAAAGGTTACATTCGCTCGCGTACATTTATAAACATTTATGAAGAAACTACTCAATAAAATTGTTCAATATTTCCCAAATTCAACTAGATGTCGACCATTCAGTGGCAGATTGGCGACAAAACAGCCTGAACATCACTTCTACTCAGCATTCACTAACACCATTATCAGACAACATACAACGAACGTCCACCTCCTTGCATTTAATTCCTGGTGTTTACCAATCGCTGTGTTAAGACAGAAAGGTGTCACACTTATTCAGGGAATGATTGCATCATGTCTATTAGGTTTTCTGGTCTTCTAGATCTATGTCTATTAGGTGAGCCCTATTGCTATTCACCGGTTCAGTTTGGTAAAATAACGACAACGCACCAAGCAGTTCGTTGATTGCTTTAGATAACTCCGTACAGATTCAGATTCAGTTGGGCTGCTGGTAAATGTCGTTGGACATTTATCGTTTCAGGTTTTAAAGGTGATGATCGAATCAATCATGGATTGTAATCGTTTGTAGGATATCTTCTCAACACGTAAGCGATTTGTCGTGCTACGCGATTTCACGAGCTGCCCCCGCATTTCGTATTGCACTTTTTCCCACCACACTTGCGGACGACGATTCGACCGAACTAGCTGATTCGGGCAGGAGCGGGATGTGTAGACTGAGAGAGCGGGGAGGAGTAAAGAGGTATTGGGGTTGGGGTTAGTGTACATAGCGAAGTGGTAGCGATGAATGTCCATTAATGGGGTATGTAAACTCGTTTCTCGGGATCTACAGCTAATCTCGTTTTTTTTCTGTGACTACTCAAAATCATTCGATAAAGATTACTCCACTAATGTCTGTTTGGCGAAATTCGCAGTGCATTCCAGTTCTTGAAATGCTGCCAATCGTACTGAACTGTATGGGACGATTAATTTTTTCTTCGATTGTGGATATTTTTTTCTCTCTCGTAACTTCCTTTATCATTCGCGTTTCAGTTACATTATGATAACCGTTTTATGAAAGTTAATACCGTTGCAATATTGATCCTTTCATCAAAAAAAATTGCTGGGGCGTTTAGCTCTGTTCAACAATTCTAT